TCTGGGCCAGTGATACTTTCTCCTAGTCAAAGTTTAAGCAAATTTATAAATAAGTCAAACAATATTTTCCCACATAAAGTCTTCAGGTGTCAAAATCTGAATCTAGTTTCCCAACATCAAAGTAGGTACCCCTACCTTCATCACAGGGGCACTTTCAGCCTAAAGCCTTTTTCTTCTGAATTCTGATTAACATTATAATCCTCAGAATGGATTATAAATAATGTGGGAACACTGAAATATAATTTCTTGGATTAGTGACTTGATTACTGAGAATCTTTTAGAAACTATGCTTACAGGGACAAGAAAAAGTAAAGATCAATGAAATGTTACTTATATTAACTCTTTTCTGAAATTGAATAGTCCATTTCTTCACAACATTACCAAAAGTCATGGTTAAAGTAGAGAAAACAGGTTCAGCAGGGTGGCGTGACCTGGCCAAAGTGACAGGTCTCCTGGCTCTCAGTCTTGAGTCCTTGATTAGAACAGGCAGGGATTATTCATGCACCTCTTACACTGCCTGCACCATTGGTTTTGGTTTCTTTGTTTCTGTAGTTCTTTTTATCCAGAATGAATTTTCTTTTTCTTTTTTTGAGATGGGGTCTTGCTAAGTTGTCTAGGCTGGTGTGGTCTCCAACTTTCAATTCTCCTTCCTCAGTATCCCAAGAAGCTCGGACTTCAACATGGTTCACCCTTCTAGGACCAGAATGGATTTTTTTAAATAGATAATCTCCCAGTAAAAAACAAACAAACAAAAAAAATAACCAGCTGAACACAGGGATGTGTGCCTTGTAGTTCCAGCTACTCAGAAGGCTAAGGCTAGAGGATAGCTTGAGCCCAGGGGTATAAGGCCAATCTGGACAACATAATGAGACCCTCATCTCAACAGATGATAGACAACCACTGATTGGCTTGCTTTAAAGTCAAAACCATGAGACAGTGATTATTTGAATACTATCTGCTCTAGAAGTAGTACTCGAGTAATTAATTGTAGTGAAAATCCCTTAAGACTAAAAACTACACAGTGAATCTTAATGTGCTTTGGTTAACAAGTCTATGCCAGATGTCCAAGTATCCCTATAGATTTTAGAGCATGGAGGCTCTCTATTTCTAAGCACCCTCTTATGCTAACACCCCATCTACTCCCCCAACTGCCACCATCTTGTATTTCTGGAGTAACAGAATTCCAGAATTTAATTTCTAGCCATGTTTCTTAACTAGGAAGGCTAATGGGTCAGGCATGTTATATACCCATGTATATCACCTATCAAGGTGTCAACTCCAGCAAAATCCCTGGTTTACATGAATTCGGACATTGCAATGAGAGAATAAGTGAAGCCATTTAAATAATACAGACCTATAAATGCCTGGAAAAAAATCATATTGCCTACAAACAGCAAACTTCATGGCATCACATGTATTTTAACATTGGCTGGTCATGAGGAAAAAATAGTAAAACTCCTGAGAAGAGAAATATGTAGGTATATGTATTTATTTTTAAGCAAATTAATATTGACATGGATTGGTACTCTAAAATCTGAAAAATTTAATATTGTATTATTCTTAATGCTCAAAGCTTGATCACCAATGCAGCGGTATTCAAAGGTAGAGCCTTCCAAAAGGTAATTAGAACAAGAGAGCTCCAAGGCATCATTGGATTGATTAATAATTTAAATGGATTCTTGGGAGGTAGAGGAAACTACAGGAGGTGGGGCCTATTTGAAGGAAGTGAGTCCTTGGAGACAGGCCGTTGGGGACCATATCTTGTCCCCACATCCCTTCCTCTCTCTCTCTCTTCTTCCTGGCTGTCATAAGCTGAGCAGCTTTCCTCTACATGCCCTTCCACCCATGATGTTCTGCCTCACTTCAGGTACAAATAACTGGAGCCAGCCAGTCATGAACTGAAACTGTAAGCCAAAATAAATCTTTCCTTTTTTTTTTTTCTTTCTTTCTCTCCTTCTTAATAAATTATTTTTCTCTGGTACTTTTGTCACAGCAACAAAAAGTTGACTGATGCATTTGGTTTCCTTGTTTATAAAATTAAAGGAGTAAATTTTAACTATACAACTCCTTTTAGTTTTAAGATTCTATTTCAGTGAGTAGCTTTGGTATTTTAATAGCAAGTCCTTCAGCTATATAGACATTTTTGTGTGCTCAGCATCAGGACTTTTTAAAACCAAAAGAAACTGACACATGCTTTTGTACATCTAAATAGGAAAGGTTTGGCATTTCTAAGTCTAACCACTTGGAACCACAGAACTCATTCTCAGCAGCCACCATGTCCTTGCGGCATGGTCAGCAGGTACCTCTCCCATCATTTGCCTACATCTGAATCCAGGCTGGGGGAGAGCCACCAGGACAGAAGCTACCAGTCAAGTTCTGCTCTAGGTCCTGTTCTATATCAGCAGTATTGGGCAAATTACTTACCCTTTTCAAGCCTATTGTCTTCTCTATAAAGCGCAGACAATAATAAACGCACCAACACTTAGGGGGTTGTTATGAGAGTTAAATGTGTTAAGCCCCATATAGCATGCAAGGTGCTATGTGGCATAGGGTAAGTAAGCACTCATTAAATGGTAGTTGTGATTTTTTTTTTTATTACCAGACTACAAGATGATAGCATTCATCTAACCTAGTATACAACTGAAGAAAGCCCATGGAAGTACCTGTAAAGTCAAAATGTTACCAGAGTCCCACATTCCAAGAAGCTGCCTCTTCCTCCTGGACTTGATCTTTCTAATGCAGTCTCACTTGCTGACTTGAGGAAATGAATGTACATACTAACTCCCACATTCCTTTCTAGAAGTTCCACACAAAGCTCTGAAGATGCAGCAACTTAAGGCAAAAGATGGCATGATCAATGATTTAGTTTATCTAGTTCACAGAAAAGAAAACTATTTCAGTTAGGTTTTTTGTTGCTATGACCAAAGACCCAACAAGAACAATTAGAGGAGGAAAAAATGTATATGGTACTCACGGTTTCAGAGGTCTCAGTCCACAACAGCCAATTCCATTGCTCTGGGTTAGATGTGAAGCAGATCATGGTGGAAGGGTGTAGAGGAGAACAGCAGCTCAGGACATGACAATCAGGAAGCAGAGAGAAACTAAACTAGGATCATCAGGGACAAAATATATACCTCAAAGGCCCATCCCCAGCAACCCACCTTCTCCAGCCATACCCTAATTATGTCTCCAGTTAATCACTATCAGCAGATTAATGCACTGATTAGGTTAAAGCTGTCAATCATTCACCTCTGAACTTTCTTGCATTGTTATACACATGAGCTTTTGGGAGACACCTCATATCTAAATCATAACAAAACCCATAACAAATGGTTAGCGTCCCCCTCCCAGGTGAGAGATGTGGAATCAGGGATAGGAGATTTGCTTTTCACTACATAGCTGTCATATCTCTTAAATTTTGAACCTCAAGGTGTTCTACATATATTAAAAAATAAAATATTTTTGGTTGTGCATAATGGCATATTCCTGTAATATCAGCTACCTGGGAGGTTGAGGCAGGATTGGAATTTGGAAGCTGGTCTGGGCAACATAGTGAGACCCTGTCTCAAAATTTAAAAGTAAAAAGGAATAGGGGTGTAGATCAGAAGCAGAGCACTTGCTGAGCATGGGCAAGACCCTAGGATCAATCTCCAGTACTGCAACTATAAATTAATTAGATTATTAACAAATTAAAAAAATATTTTTAGTTGTAGATGGACACAATATTTTAATTTTATTCATTTACTTTTTATGTGGTGCTAAGGACTGAACCCAGTGCCTCACACATGCTAAGCGAGTTCTCTACCACTGAGCCACAACCCTAGTCCCTAATTTTTTTAAATAACTATATTTTAAGAAATTATGCCTTCCTTTTTGAGGGTTGAGGAGTTGTCAGGCAAACTTCATACACACTGCAGAGCATCTCTGTGTGCCTTTTGCTGTTGTTTTACCAGAGAACTGTCACAATTGGGTGTCCACAACTGTAGGGTATGAGTGGAAGTTTGGAGAGGACCGAAAAGGAAAAGAGGAAAAGTCTTTGGGGCCTAGGATTACTCAGGATTAGGCAGGTTTCTTCACAAAGGAACTAAAGGACTCCTATAGTACATTTGGAGGAGGGTTGCATACTAATCCCAAATCTTGCTACTATGTTATAACCCAGAACAGAGGGAAAATGAACGCACATGTATGAGGGTGTGTGTGCATATGCACCATCCAAATAACCCATGGGGCTCAACCTTTCATTGCTGTTTCTTAAAAAGTATTTTTAATAAAGAAAAAAAATCTGAAAAAACTTGTCTCCTATTGAAAGACTGGTTCAGAAGTAACCAGGGTTCATTTTATTTGAGCAAGTACAATCTAGTACAACAATGCACTAGTACAATGTTTTCTCCCTCATTCATCATTGTCCAACCCTGATGGAATTATGCAAGTCTGGCCCTGAATGGCCCTGAAAAGAAATATCTTAAATATCATTATAAGCTACCACATAGTACCCCATGGCAAAATGGATCTCTGAAGAATTAACAGTAGAGTATTAAAAATGCTTTGTGGGGTTGGGATGTAGCTCAGTGGTAGAGCACTTGCTGACCATGTGAAAGGCCCTGCGTTCAAGTCCTAGGACTGCAAAAGAAAAGTTTTGTGTGAAGAATGCATTTAAAATTCTGAAATGTACAAATATGAAATGCACTTTATGAGAAAATGGCTTATATATAGAAAAAAGCTACCCATGAAGTATAAAGATTAAAATATCTGTGCTTGAGTCATTCAGAGCCATGTTTATGTCTTTCAATTTGACCTTAGAAAGGGCAAAGCATATTGAAGTTTCTGAAAACCAGGATACAGGACAGTAAAACAGAATGAAACTCATGACCATAAAACAGAATGAAAGTTATATCTTCATGGTTAGCCACCTGGTGACAGCTCTGTTGGCTTCACACATGTCAAAACTGCTTAATTATTTTTGGTGTACATTTGAAAAAGTGTGTTGGTTTCTCAAGTCATTGTGAAAACAGCCTTTTTTTTTTTTTTTTCGAGGTTTACTTTTAGGCCTATAGGAGACAGCATGCACTGAATGTCAGAAGAGTATGTAAAGAAAATTTAGAAGCGTGGTTGAGCAAGGAATGAGACATTAGACATTAAAACAGTTGCCATCAACTCAAAGTATGCCACTTATGCTAAATGTTCTCAATTTGGGGCAAGGATAGTGGTCACACACATTTATATACTAATATACATGCATTTCCTTTATTCTCCCATCATGTAAGATTTAGCATCATGAAGTACCTAGTTAAACATGACAAACAAGTGATGTAATCCCATGACCCAGGATCAGTAATTTCTGTATCCCACAGTTCAGATTCTGAAACTTTCAGGATTAAGAAAAGACAACAAATGCAGTGACAGCTCTGGATTCTAAGCAACAGTGACATACAGGATGTAAATATTCGTGTAGATTCCAACTTACTGTTCACTTGCTTCCCTGACAGACTGTAGGCGATATCTGTTGTAAAGCTGAATGGAGAGCTATTGAATAGGACTATTTTGGTAGCAAAAGCCTGGTTACAGGAACAAATTGGAGGAGAAAGAATAAAAATTTCCTCTGCATCTTTCAGAGCTTGGCTTGAGCCTCAAGCCCTCTCACAAGCTGTTCCTGACTTCCTGAGAATGGTTTAAGCACTCACTCATCCCCACAGCAGATATTGCCAGTTGCCCACACACAGTTCTTCCAGAACCCCAATTTTATTTAACATTGATGGCCATATGCTTTCCCAAAGCCTGGAACTTTCCTCAGCTCTAGGAATTGAATCTTCATTAACAACCCAGTGCTTTTAATTCTATTCTTCTTGCCAGTGATTGGTTAAGAAACAAAGATACCATGAAAGTCTGGCCTAGGAGATTCAGAGGGAGTGTGCTGCTGAGGAACTTATGGAGAGGTGTCCAGAAGCAAACAAACAAATAAATAAGGGAGGGGTGACTATGTTTTCCATCTTTCACTGCCTAAAACTGTGGTGGCAATTTGAGAACTGAGGGAATCTGAGAACACAGAAAGATGAATCTGGTCTTGACATGTCACAGAACTAAGCAACCTTGGTAACTCCTACCTGTGGACTTCTCGTTTTGTAAGGTCATAAAATTCCTCTTGCCTCAATCCTTATTTGGTAGTATAGGACTTGCACTTATAGACTTTCAATAACTGTTTCAGGCATGATATAAATTACAGAGAAATCTTTCCATTGGAAAGTTGAGAGGATGGAGATGTTCTGCTTAATTAAAATTGTTTGTGGTGGCGTGCTAGAGCTAAGTACCTTCTCGCTTACTAAAGCCAATTGTTATAATTTCTGCATCTTTGGGAAGGGGGATTTTTGTTACTCGTGACCTCAAGTAATTGAGCATATTCCTCTTCTACTGAAGTAACAGAGTGCACACATGCATATACATTTCTTGCTCTCTTTTTATTTTGTAGTAGTTAGGGTTGAATTGGGGTGTTCTACCATTGAGTTACATCCCCAGCCCTTTTTTTTTCTTAATTTTTTATTGAGAAAAGGTCTCACTCATCTGCCCAGACTGGCCTTGAACTTGTAATCTTCCTGCCTCCGTCTTCTAATCACTGACATTACAGGTGTGCTCTCTCTTTCTAATGAAACTAACTCTTGTGTGAGTACTAACTTTACTTTATTTCCCCTTCATCCCCTCCACCCCACCCCAAATCCAAACATCACATGTTCTGTATTCCCACTCTGGAATACCTTCTTCCCCAGCACCATCAATCATCTCAGGGCCTGGTTCCAAATGGACCTCCTACATGAAGTTTCTTATTTAATCCCTGCCTACATCTTCCCCTAATTTTAACACAGCATTTACTGCCTCTAACTCTATACATCTTGTCTGCTGAGTCCTGTGCTTTCCTCTCCATGTCTACCACTCCAAGCACACAACTGATTTATAGTAACTGACTGAGTTAAGTGCAAATAACCATTTCCTTTCACCTAAAGTTTGGTGTTTTCCTTTCCTTTTTATTTCTACATCTTCTTTCCTCATCTTACTTCTCTATAGAAGAAAAGACCAAAAGAAATTCAAGCTCAGGCTCTGCAGTAAGTATTTTAAAAGAAAGCCAAGAATAGCATTCCCTACCTTCTGGAAGTTACAGATAAGACAAAGAATGATGATGATGATAAGGGGGCAGCAGCAGTTGGAACTTTAGGAATGATCTCCTATTTTTGTACCTCCCTATATCCATTGTCAGTTCTGCTACTAAAGGTGGGGGGTCCTCAACAAATCTGAAGTTACAGTAGAAAATACAGTAGAGTGGAGTACATAGTCCACATTTAGTACTACTGGTGAATGTTGTATGGTTAGGGTGTTGGGGCTAGGCCTTGAAGCTTTTTACTATAAAAGTAAGATGAATTGTGGGTACCAGTAGCAACACTGCTGTCTCAATTATAAGGAACTTCACCTGAATATAATGACAGAAGAATATCTGATGTGATATGGACTTTAAGCTGTTTTGAAATGAAAAATAAAATCTCGGATTATTTTTGGTTTTATTTCAAAATGCCTGCAGATGATGGCCATCAGCAGATCTCCAGACCATCTAACAGGAAGGGCCAGTCCATCACAAAGGCTGGCCTCTGGTCGTTCTGCTCTGTTCTTCTGTACAAATCTCTGGGACCATCCTTTTTATCATTTATTTAGCAGGACTAGGATTGCATCTCAGAGCCCTACACATGCTAGGCAAGCATCTACCACTGAGCCACATCCCCAGCCCTGGGGTCCTCCTTAGATGAGATGGCAAAAGGAGCATTTGCAAGGATCATGACCCAGTGTAGGAATCAGCTCATACCCTTGAATGTATGCAATCCAATTCTAACAGGCTTTTAATTCCTTTTAGATATTAAAAATATCTTGTCACTTTCATTGGATAATATCAAACCAACACTAAGAACTTCTAAAAGATAATTTATATTACACAATAGAGTAAAAAACTGTAATATATGTTCAGAAATTTAAATAAGCACCAAATACTACAAAGTGCAACCAACATGGTTCTATTAAAACTGTCTTCAACTATAGCATTCAAGGACAGCTGTATAATATTTTCTTTACAAAGTGACTAATACAAAAATCTTCCAAAAATTCATTTCTAGGCTATTCTTCTCATATAGGCATGTCATTAGATATACTTTCTTTCAATTCTTTCCTGAGGTATTTTTGTGGTTTAACTTTATTTTACTGCTGGATGCATTTGATCATCCTTTCCTAAAATGATTTTAAAGACCTGCAAAAAGTTTTATTACATAGGACACTATTCATGACACAGAGATTGGGAACTGCAAATATGTAGCATTGGAACAAGTCTTACAAATATTTCATTTTAAGAATTTGTTACATACATTTTTTACAGTTTGTCTCTTTTTAAAAAAAATTGAAGTTATACCTAAGAGTTAACTACGTACAGGGAAGCATTTTAGGAATGTTAGAGATTAGAAAGTAAGATGAATGATACAAAGGAAAAAAGCCATAATTCTTGCCGGCTATATATTGTATTGCCTTCAAAAGCAACTGTACATGTTGTAATCAGTTCATAGTTAAATATTTCTACTAATCTGTTTTGGGAGAGCAAATGTCTTTCAAGGTTTCAAGTTCCTCTATAAGCTTCTTATTCTGCACTTCCAGCACTGCAACTCGACTCTCCAGACACTTTACATATTCTTTCTTTCGACGTCGACATTCTTTTGCAGCTTCCCTGGAAAAAGTAGAAGCAAAGGGCAAACAAAACATTTTTTGCATGCTATTGACAAACAGATTGAATTAAGCTTGGTAAATGTGAACAGAGTTGCATTCCAAATCCTGGAACAATATTCCCAATTCAATTTCAAACAACACTAAGCCAAACTGGATTCTTAGTTAAGGGTCACATATGTCCCTTCCACAAGTCCACATGGCAATTAGTAGAACTGGTGCAACGCCTGCCTTGATTAGAGTTTAGAGTAAACAAGGTCCAAGTCAAAGACAGTTACTCTGCTTTATGGCAATAAAGATCTTTGAGGGCCTTGAGTTCCTCAATGAGGGTCTTGTTTTGGTTTTCAAGCACAGCCACACGATTTTCAAGACATTTGACATATTCTTTCTTCTTCCTGCGACACTCCCGGGCAGCTTCCCTGGAACCAACACAAGGCAAATGACTACAGGAACAACCTCCCAGTACAATCCAGAGTGGCTCAATGACTTGTGCCCCCCAAAATCACTAGCCAATCAAACCTAGGAAAAGTTTGTACAAAGCCACACAACAAATGGAACCAAGCACATGCCTTTTTGTAAGACAACAGGAACAACTTGAGAGCACGATCAATTTGCCCAATTGGTGTTTTCTTAGGACACACTTTCCATGATAACAATGACCAGAACTGTGTTCAGTAAACTACACAATAGGACCACATTCCCAAGTGGAATTTCAACAAAAACATTTATAGATCCTTTGGATCCTCTTAATTATTTTTTGTCTGCCAAAAGCTACACATATTCCATCACAATAAGTACATTTTATTTGGTCAAAATGATGAGAAGAATTGTTCCTCAGAAACCTTAAATGTCAATATTGAAGATCTTTGTTTGTCAAAACTAAATTTCAATAAAACAAGATCATTCATGACTGAAAAAAATTTTTTGGGGGGTGGGGCTAGAAAACACAACATGGATAAATTACAACAATAAATAAGACATGTGCATTTTTATAAACCAAAATAAAAAGGACACTTTCTGAAAATTAAAAAAGGAAAAACAGAGTTACATAATGCAACACTCAATAATTCAGGCAATTTAAATGCACAAATGTGAAAACACCACAGTTGAAATTATGGAAAAGGAAGCTACTGAATAATTCAAAAGTGCATTTTGAGACTGTTCTCTACTCACATGCATTTAATATGCAATACACTGAATTTTAAAGCACTATAAGCATGCCCAAAGGAAAGAACAAAACAGCAGCCAAAGCAACAACCACCAATAAATAGATGAGTTAGTCATTTTCATGCATAATTCCACTAAAAAACAATTTGCTTTCTTTTACTTTTTTTTTCCCCAGGGTGGGAGGGGACAGCAACTATTTCACTTAAATCTTCACAGAAGCTCTCTGATTAACAGCTTTATTTTAGAGTATTCAATTCCAGAAAAACTGCCATATAGTATCATTATCCTATACTTTAATAAAAATAATGTTGTATGTCTAAATACTAGTTACTGTAATACCAATTAGCATTGCTGTAATCCTGAACTAAATGACGCATACAACGCCTTTGATCAATTGTTCTATTTTTAGGATAGCTGACTCTCATAAACTGGATATGTGTTTTCTCTATGGGAGGGCAAGAGTTAGCAGAAAAGAAACCTTGAAAACCCAATAAACTGCAGGAAAAGAACAAACAACCCTTACTTCCTATCCAAGAACAATGCACTCACCCTGTGAACTCACAAAGTTCTGGACTTCTCAACTGGTTAATGAGAAAATAAAAAATGTAAAAGTGAATTGAACCTGATAAAATAGTGATTGATTTAATATACATGATGCATAGGGAAAAGTTAAGAATAAATCCAAACACACTTTCAAATTGCCAGTTTGGTAATATAATTCAACTCTCTTCCACAAAGTCACTAAAATTCATTTGTGAATACCAAGGTTTTCAATATTAGATCATTAAATTCGGGTCTAGAAGGAAGATAACATTCTATAGAGCAATTTACCATTAAATGAAAATTAAAGAACAATATAGTGAGGTATTTAATTTTTAAAATTTTATTTACCAAGCTGCTGATTGTAAATATACATATTTCATATTTTACATTTGTGTCTGTGTGTGTGTATGTGTTACTAGAGTAAAATGTTCCAAGCTAAAGCATCAAATGATCACACCAGTGGATGGTACATTCCTAAATACTTTTAGCTATGGAAAACACCTGTTTCTTCTATTAATAGTTAGTTCACAGGCCTTGTATTTAACTGGATCTATCCTCAGCATGGAGATGAAATGACACGGCAAAGTGGAAAGGCTGATAAGGCTATAAAGAATTAAAACTGATGCTGTATTGCTAGAAATATAATTAAATATCTTCTATAGATGCCATCAAGGAATAAAAAGAGAGAATGTATAAGGGATCTTTCATGTTAATTATGAAAACTATCCACTTTCCATGAAGTCAAATATGAAGCGTACATTGAGGGCCTTTTGAGGTGACCCTAGTGTTAGGGTAGTAGACAACTCTGGAATAAAGACTGTCTGATTGCATATCCTGGTTCTTAGGCTATGTGACCTTGGCCAATTTATTACTTAAACTTTCCAAACCAAAGTGGAAATAATAACCAGACCCTTTATCTTAAAGAAATTATGTGAAAGTTAAAGAAACAGTAGGAATAAAGCACTTGAAATCAACTAAACAGATACTGAGCAACCTAAGAGCCCTTAGTCAGCTGCTTTTCTTTGTGTTGCTCTGAAATTGAGATTTAGAAAGCTAAAATAATGGGCTGGGATTGTGGCTCAGTGGTAGAGTGCTCGCCTAGCATGCACAAGGCACAGGGTTCAATCCTCAGCACCACATAAATGTAAAATAAAGATATCGTATCCACCTAAAACTTAAGAATAAATATTAAAAAAAAAAGAAAGCTAAAATAAACACTCTTCAGAATCCCTACAGTTAGACTAGAAACCTATTTCTAATCAATGAAATGTAGGTGAAAATTTCTGGGAGGTTTTCAGAAGGGGCAGATTCAGCTAGCCCCAATTATTGGTTCTAGCCATTCTCCCTTCTTTCCATCTAATGCAATGCCTCAAAGTGCAGCAGTCATATTGTGATCCTAAAAGCAAGTTGTATATGCTGAGGATGACAGGGCAGGGAGGACATTCCTGAGCCTTAGTTCTGGCTGCACATACCTCTTGATCTGCTATATAGGATCAAAAAACCACCTATAAGTTTAAGCCTCCATTTCCCTTGGTTATTTGCAGTCGAAACACAAATCAATCAGTTATTATTTATTAGATTTTTTAATACAAATTTTGTAATTTTCTCCCCTCAGGGAAATTTCATGTATATGTAGGTAGTTGTGTGGCACATTTATAGGAAACCACTGCCTAATATTTTATTTTTCTCACTGGTATTTCTATTGAGAAATTTCTGAAATAAAAAATAAGGATAGAGAATAATTACAAAAGGGAAATAAGACTATTTCTGTGTTTTATTTTCTTTGGGTAAATAAGACATCAATGAACAATTTTACAATTTGCATTAATAGTGTACTTTACATTTCTAAACTGAACTTCATAATGTATATTCTATGACCACAGAAATAATTATATTCATAGCTCCTGAAATCTCAGAAAATTCATAAAAATATCCATATTTCTCCATCAGATCAAAGTTGAGTTGTTTTTTGTTTTGTTTTGTTTTGTGGAGCTGGGGATTGAACCCAGGGCCATATGCACTCGAGGCAAGCATTCTACCAACCAAGCTATATCCCCAGCCCAAAGTTGAGTTTTTTGTTTTATTTGAGATGGGGTCTTGGTATGTTGCCTGGGCTGGTCTTGAACTCTATGTGCTCAGTCTCCTGAGATGCTAAGACTACAGGAATGCACCATCCTGCCAAGCTTAAGCATCTATGATAATAGGACTGCCATAAAACAACTGTGATGCTGTGTTAGCCCCAGCCATTCAGCCCCTGGATTTCTCAGCAAAGAGCTGACAGTGAAAAGCAGGAACCTAGCATGACTTAGTAAACCTGGAACAACCACTGACAAAGATGCATATACCTTACTGACCTTATCCCTGGTATCTTTCTGTTGAGTTTTCCAGTGTACAAAACTCCATCTAATGATTTGTGAAGCTAATAAGTTTGGGAAGAAGTAGCCAATTCAATGATTCCCATAATATATCAAATCATATCATTTAAAAGACCATGAATAAAGTAAATATAGCTACTTCTGGTTCACACTGTTACAAAGGATAGTGATAAACTCAAAACTGAATTTTAGGGATCCAGAGGCCACAATTTGTAGGTTAGTCAGGATGATTAAGACCACCTTTGCAGTCCTGATCAGTTGCAAGGAGATGATCCCATCTGATGCTTTGTTTTCTTATAATAAGGACATTATTTAACACTTAGGTAGAGGTGACAAAAAAATTTACAAGGAAACTCTAGAAGAATTCTGTTCATTTTGGAAATCAAATTAATTTGCGCCACTCTTCAAAATAAGAACTAAAATAAAACAAAAAATAATATTCAAGTTAAAATAAATTTTTGTTTAAGATTAAATTAAAACTTTTTTGGGGGGAAAACAGCATTTGATTTTACACTAATTTTTAAAAAATATAATTACAGAGACAACAAGCAAGAATATGTGAGAGAAAATGAAAGAACAGACTGGAAACATACATACTATAATGTTAGCAGGTATCTCTAAGTGACAAAGCCATGGATTATTCTAATTATTTTTGATATTTTGTATGTGTACTTGAGTAGAATTTGTCAAAATAACACATTTTGTTGTAATAATGAAAACCAAAGTTAGAAATAGCTGAAAGGATAAAAATTTCAAACTTTCTAATACTTAAATTTATTTTGCTAATAAAGAGTTAAAAAATTATACTTATAATACTGTCTCACAAAGTAAAAGCCATATACAAAATAAATTTTTATTTATAATGAAGTCTATCTTTTTTTTTTAAAGTAATATACCTTTTGAACATCATCATTATAACACATTGGGATGTATCTTCTAATGAGATAGTTTAATGGCTAGGTACTCTTAACTAGAAGACATTCTAGTTATCATTACATGCAGAGCACAAACCCACACACAATGCACATAACACTTAACTGGGGAGAAAGAGCTTAGGACAAGTGTAATTTTTTTAAAGTCCCACAGTAAAAAATTATGTGTCTTATAAGAGGGTCCTGATTTCTGGTGAAACAGCTTACCTGTTTTTCATTAGCCTCAGCTCTCGTTTACGTGTTGCTTCTTCTGCTAGTTGCTGGGGACTGTGCAAACTTCCTGGTGAGGCAGCCATCACTACACCCTGTGGCAAAGCTGTAGTAGGAGCTCGGATCTGATAAGTGGGCATGTCACCTGTAGCAGCTGCAATGAAATAAAATATAGCAAGTTTATATAAACAATTCACAAGTTGATATTTCATATAAAATTAATCTGAAAACAACATACTTTTTATGTCACTAGAGATGATCTTTTAACGTTAAAGATAATTACTCTGAGCATTACAGGGATCTTAAATATCAAAGATCTCCTTCAGCATTTATAGAACTAAGATATGAATATTTCAACTCTGACTACATTTAAGGTAGAACAATGTCCTAATGAATTTTAGACAAATTTTTATCAAAGCTTTTTAACTACATTTCATTTAGCCTAAAGTCAGTAGTGTGTTGATAAAATATTTAAGAAACAGTTCTCTAGGGATTGGGGAGAGAAAGACCTAATCTGTAGTGTTTGATGATTCCCATGATGGAAATACTTTCACAATGGCCAATGTCAAGATGGCAATATGACTTCACTGAATGTAGAGTTGGGAAGAAACACAAATAAGTAGCACACCATACAGATAAAAATATGTAAATAATCTCAACAGCAAAGACAAAATTTATGAGTAATGAGGAGTTTTGAGTACTGATGTTGCTTTTTAGTGTAATTCATTTGTATAAGAGTGTGTGTGCATATGTAACTTTTAACAAAGGTTGCTTTAACAATCAATTCACAAAGATGCTGAAAGCATAATATTGGCTATAGCAAGCCAGAAGGTGCTAGCTCTAGCACAGCACTACAAAAATTTTAATTAAGCAGAATATCTCCATCCTTTGAACATGCCAATGGAAATTTTTCTCTATACATTCTATATCATGCCTGAAACAGTCACTAAAGGTCTATAGGTACAAATCCAATTACCAGAAAATGACTGAGAAAAGGGAAGGAATCTAGCTCACTGAGGTTTTAGTTAAAAACAACAATCAAAAACAAAGCAAAACAAATGAAAACCAACAAAGTTTTTCTTAAAAGTGGCTACTCAGGGGATTTTTTTTCTTTATTTTTCTTTTTTAAGTAATATATTCCTGAGTATTCATATAAAAATTATTTTCTTAGTAAATAACATTTAGAATTCAGATTGAATACTGAAAGAAAATTCTCAAAGTTTCCTTATTTATATTCAATAGTCTATCAACTGCATTAAACATAGCTTCCTAGAAAAGACAGATGGATTTGAGTGATGAAATACATTTCTATCACCAACGCTTCAACTTTGAAAACATATGGTCCAGAGTCAATTTGATATTACAAAATACATACTCTCAAAGCTAAATGCAAAAAAAAGTTTTAAAAAGTTATTAAATCTTATAAAAATTGATCTGAACCAAATGCCATTCAAAAGGAAATATAGTATTTTCATGGTTTTAAAAAAAGTATTATAACCATTGAGTAAGAACTGAAATTTTTTTCAATACAGGAGAGAGTTTTTCACCTAAATGGAATACTATCCTTGAAAATAGTTAAGCAGTTTTTAAAAATTAAAAATTAAATACTACTTTCTTTTATTTGGTGAATAACAGCTTTTCCCCTTAGGGCTTGAAGATTAAGAAATAGAATAAAACAAATGAAAAATGTGGCTTTGAGGGAAGATTATCTAAAGGTCTTCACAGAATTAATAAAAATACTATTTAAAAGATAGTACTTACTGCCTCTTCTTTTTATAATTTAAAAATAATGGCGATAAATAGTAACTGTGATAAATAATCATCAGCCAAATTTCTATTACTAAACTTAGGAAAAGTCCCATATTTGTTTTGATGGCTATTCAAAACATTATATACAGATGCCTCATTATATGTTGCTGAAATTTTTATAGCTTTGAAATTTTTAAGAAGAAAACTCCTGGTAAACTAACTTACTAAAGATTTTTTTTTTAAATCTCTTTTATTTTTAGTTTTTTCTGGTGCATTATAATTATATGTAATAATGGAATTCTTCATGCCATATTTAAACATGTACATAACATAATTTGCTCAATCTTATTCCCCAGTAACTTTCCTTTCCCTCTCCTCCTTCCTCTTTCTGATCCATGAGATATACTCTACTAATCTCCCTATTATTATTTTTAAATGGATGGAACTGGAGAACATCATGCTGAGTGAATTAAGTCAGGCCCAGAAAGTCAAATGTCAATTTTTCCTCTCATGTGGAAGCTAGAGAGGAAAAAAAGAAAAAGAATTTTAAAAGGGATTCAGGAAAATAGAAGAGATTCCAATAGAGGAAGGAAATTAAGGGAAGAGGAGAGGGCATAGGCAAGTACTGGGGAATGAAATCTACCAAATTATGCTACGTCCATTGTAAAAATATACCACAGTGAATCCTGATGAATATAATAAAGTTTATATATTGTATACATATATGAAATTATAATGCACTTATTATTTAAACAGCTTGATCATGTCAGAGGAGATGGAGTGGAACAAGAATAATATAGTCCTCCCCTCTTTTCTCTTTACCCACATCCAAGGAAGAAGGTTATAGGATAATAAAAGCTTAAACAATGCAACAGCTGGAGGCTACAGGCTTTCTAAAATTGGAACAATAGCCAGTGAGGAATCAGAAGTTTACATGTTACTGTGTTGACATCCGCAGATAGCCTCAATGCAGTCCTAGTTCTAAGCTTGCTATTTCAAACAGTGCTCACAAAGAAGTGAAAAAAAAAACAAAAAACAAAAAACAAAAAACCAACCAAACAAACAACAAAAAAAACTAATATAAGGGTACTTAAGGGTTTCTTATACTCTTTAGTTTTGCATACATTTGCTACCTTCTGTAATATGAAATTAGAACAGAATGTTTACATGAAATACAAAAGCTAAGAGTATCTACTAAAACAAACTTTTTAAAAAAACTGGGAAAAGGGATGGTGGATAGAAATACTTCACAGATGAAAATGGACATCAGGAATGGTTCCAAACAACTTTTGCCTGTTTTGAACAGCCACAGCCACCTTTGAAGAACCAAACTGGGCAGCATGAAGGATAGTGGCAATTCCAAGTGGAGTATTCCTAAAACATTTTGAAGTAATAGCTCAGAAAAAAAAAAAAAAAGATCACTTTAAAATAACAGAAAGGGATGATATTTCCATATATATTAGTTCTGGGATGTTAGGTAAACAGAGTTTTATTATAATGTTCCAGATATGTTACATGTTAATTTTATTCTTGTTAAAATAGAGATTATAGTTTATTAGTTCAAGCCAGAAATATGAATTAGTATAAATTAGTAGGAATTAGAATAAATTTCTATAATAAGCCTAAAGAATCTATAGGATGGTATTCTTCCAGAGGTCAAAGGATAAAGTCCATATATTCAAATGTAATCTAATTAGTAAAGTATGTTAAAAAGATATGGGCAAAGAGACTTTCTCGTTTTTTCTGAAATAAGTTATGAAACAGTGTTAACCTTAGTAGGCTTCAGTTCCTGATGTTATGAATTCAGTGGTCATTTAAAGCAGATTAGAAACCAAGGATCACAGTTCAAAGAGCCATCATATTCCATGATGACCAATTCTTATTCCTATTCTCTTCTAAAGGCTGATTCTGTCCCATCTAACTAGTAAAAAGTGTCCAAAATATTTTTTATTCTAGAATTTCATTTTATTTCCAAAATTACAGGGGTCATCAGTAGGGCTTAAAAATTACAGTTGAAGATAGATAATATGATATTTATTTATACACTAATTTTCTCAGGCAAGTAAAAATTTTCAGACAAGTCAGGGGCAGTATCTTTTTACCTTGGTGTGTCCTAGTACTTGGCATATAATGGTTATTTCATTAGTTTATGTGTACACTACAAAGATAATTTTGAACTTCCTAGGGTATTGTACAGGTATTTGGGATGATTAAAGTAAATAGTCTTCCTTATAGACTTAATTATGATAGTTAAATCTTTATCATTATGATATGGAAAGAGAGCAACAAGATATGTATTTATTCAAAGTGGCGTTTCTTGATAAAAGACATTATTTCCTAAATCTTCCCTTAAATACATCTAACGTGGCATTTTTAGAAGAGGGTTTTAACTATAATGTATTTCCAACAATTTAACTATTGAAATGAAAGAATTCTAGAGGGGTTGGTGTCAAGTATTTCATGGGAAAAGAAAATTTCTAGAACTCTCAATTCTGATCATTAACTTCATACCTCTATTTGCAAGCTTTAAACATGGTACAGCAGAAAAAATATGGGATTTGGAGTCTGGGTTCTAGTCCAGCTCTGCCACTTACCAGCCATGTGACTTGGGGCAAGTTCAGTTTCCTCATCTGTAAAATGGGGATACATTATCTCATTTAATACTCACAATAAACCCTGTAATGTATGTCAAAGTGTCTAGCACAGTGCCTGGCACATGGTAGGCATTCAGCAAATGTTATTTCCCTCTTCTTCCCTTCCTTAAATTCTGAAAGACAATGTTCCAAATTATGCTTATACTGTATTTTAGTTAAAAGTCTTATAACATCCTTAAATAAATTTCCCCTGGAGTTTCCCTTCTAACAAACCTGAGGAGTCAAAATATATGGTTCTTACTCCTTATTTTGCTTAAAAATATGCCTAAGAACTTTTTACATTTATAACACATTGTTATAGCTCTTTAAACAACAAACTATTAAAAGATAACATAAAATGTCCCTTTCAGTGTATATAATCACTTAAGACAGAACCTCAAAAGTGGAGAATCACAAATGACCAAATGATACACTCTTGTCAGATTGGTAAGAAGAAAACTAAAAAAACCCACAAGTCAGAGTAGGAAACAAAGAAATAAATAAGAAACCCAGCCAAATGCCTATTCTGATAGTTACCAAAGTGAAACAATCTGTCCAACTCCCAATATGATGGTGATTTTATTTGACTGTTTATTTGCTGAATTTTCCATAAGTACTAAGCATATTAACTGAAGGAAAACATCTTTATAGAGGAAGTTCCTACCTTCATATGTCATTTCACTATGTGCCAGTAATCTTAAATACACCTAAGTAAGCAACAAAGGTAACTTAAAAGTTATTAAGTGTAGGGGAGAGGGCTTTCCCTTTCTCCAGTAAGCTACTCCACTTTTGTTCTTCAGTTCTCTCCCTTCCTACCACCACACCAGTGCTCCTATTACCTAAATCAGACTTATCTATCTATGCCTTGTGTCCCATACTGTCAAAATATTTCCTTTTTCCATTGCTCTGGTTTCTTTGGGGAAATTAAATTTACCAAAAATACTTATTAAAGTACTAAACATTTTCAAATTCATTACAATTACTATTAACACATAGACCACATGGAATTGTCATTAATTGTTCAGCTTTATTGAGGTATAGTTGACAAGTAAAATTATATATATTCAAGGTGTACAAAGAGATGCTTTGAAATATATATATATATATATTTATATACACATCATGAAATGATTACCACAATCAAGCGAAGTTACACATAAGGGGCCTTCTTAGGTTGTTTAATAAGTGAAAAATCTTTGAAAGTCTGGGTAAAAAATGGAAAGTTATGAATACTTGAAAGTTAATGTTCCATAAAATGGCAAATAAATGCTCTATTGTCCTATGAGAGTAATAATAAAAATTCTAGCAAAAACTCCATTTTGACTACTTAAAAGAACGCTAATTCACTTTGCATATTTTATAACCAATGTGTAGTATGCTATAAGGCTCATGTTACATTGGTATTAATTTATCCATGTCAGGTGAATTTTTTTTTTTTTTCCCAGTGCTGGGGATCAAATCCAGAGCTTTGGACATGGCTGGAAGTGCTCTACCACTGAGCTACATTCTGGGCCTTGTCAGGTGAATTTTGAGAGCAATGTAATATACTATGAGCAGAACCAAGGGAGTCTGAAGACAAAAACTGGCTCACTACTTGGTACCTGTAGAAGCTGGAAAAGTCATTTACCTGTCAGGATCTGTGTTCATTTATACACAAGAGTATAACAGTATCTGTTTTGTGTATTTCAATTGTAACCCATGTAAAGTGCTTTTCTATTTTACTATTTAAATATGGTTTCCTTAATGAGGCTCACCCTAATCTTAACCTATATTTCCTGCTTTCCATATATACAACCTGATAGTTACTTTGATAGCACTTTCTTCAATTTATATTTATACTTATTTGCAATGTTAAGTGATTTTTATTTTTCTATTTACACAAATGCAAAGTAGCATCATAATTATTTAATTAGGCAATATATTCATATAGGCAAATAAAATGGGTGGGACAAAATGAAATAAATGTCCCAAATTACATTGCATTAATTTTTCTTTTATTTTAATTAGATATTTGGAGTTGAGGCTTAGTTACAGCACTTGCCTAGTATGCATGAGGCCTTAGGTTCCATCCCCAGCAGCACTTCTCCCTTTTTTTTTAAATAATAGGAAAACAGCATAAAGCCATTTTCCATTTCATCCTCCATAGAACTTTCACGTTTTATTTAAACTCAAGATAGATAAATGATTTGTTATTTTCATGTCCAACATAATTATATCTTGCTTTGCTACCAACTTCAAGAAGCTGTTAAACCTGACCAAATTCATTCTTTTATGTCTAAAGCGCTCAAAAAATCATGGCCATTAATCTCCTTTCGCAAAGGTGAAAATTAAGATATCATTATCCAAAATTGATGGAAGTTTTGTTGTTAACAATTCAGAAACTCAATTTGAATACAACTTATTAAAACTCAGAATCTAAAGGAAAGAATTATGCTCCTAACATTAATTTATTAATAAAACAAATTTTTTCTTATAAAAATTTAAATGTTACCCAACAGAATCAATAATAAACTATAGACAGACACTTCCATGATCCTCTAAGTAAATGCTGCTAGACCAGTCATTTGTGTTAGGAACCTGATTTTGATCTAGATCAATTATTTTTTTCAAACTGTAAGTTATAGATCATTAGTGGGTCATAAAATTAATTTCATGAGTCAAGAACTGTGTTTTAAGGGAGCTATGAATATAACTCAGTGGTAGAGAGCTTCCCTAGCAGGCATGAGGCCCTGGTTCAACTCCTAGCACCACAAAAAGAAAAAACAAATTAAGAAGAGCATTAAATGAAAAATTAGAAAAGGAAGTGAGTATTCTGTTTGAAATATATTTTATATAAATGTAGAATGTATATACAAACACACACACACATACACACACACATACACATATCCACTGTGTCATAATATAAAATATGGGTCATGGTCAAAGAGTCTGCAAGCCATTGAACTAGATCAATCCCCTTGGTTTGCAAGTCCACAGTCCAAAGGCCTGGTTCTGAAAGCTGCTCTATTGTACCTCTGAAAATATCCTTAAATCCTGCGCTCTTTCTGCACTTGTGGAAAAAAAGGCAATATGACTTATTTTTCATTTTCAAATAGGTTTTCAAATAGCATTAATTCTATGAGAACTGAGGAGATTTTGGAAAATAATTATTTCTAAAAGCACAATAGGATTTGTGAAAGAATGCTCTATACTACTTGATAGTTCTGTTTCAACATTTTGAAAATTTTAAATTGGAAAGGGAATTATGATTAAGCATTACTGTTTAAACTGTGGGAAAAAATTTCAAGAATGGTATGTTCGTTCTGTAAACATAAATGTATAAAATGTTTAATTTATGTTTAATAAGCAAAAATAGTTAAGCTCTTTACATAAATAACTGCTTTAACATTCATTTTTCAATATATTCAGTATTTGTTATCATTTTATTTTATTGTATTGCTATAATTCTCAAGCTTAGACAAGTCAAATGGGGAACAGGAATTAAAGGTTTAGTTAAAAGAAAGATATAAACCAGCAGGGCATGGTAGCACAAGCTTATAATCCTATCAACCCCGGGGAAACTGAGCCAGGAGAATTAACAGTTGGAAGCCAGCCTCAGCAATTTAGTGAGACCTTGTCTCAAAACAACAACAACAAAGGGCTGGGGCTATAGCTCAGTGATAAAGCACTCCTGGTTTTAATTTCCAGTACCTGCCCACCAAAAAAAAAAAAAAGATAGATAAACCAATAATGTCTAGAAAGTAAATATATGGACAAATATGCCTTTGTTTCTAAGAATCATATGACATGCAGTATTTGAGATCATTTTAAATTTATCTATCTTATAATAAATTTATCATTTAAGACCTTCTATAATCTATAGCACTTCTATAACTTTACAAAAAAAAAAGTCCTTAAGACAAATTTAAAAACAATTCAATGCAGGTTTTACTTGCTCAAGACAATGGAATGTTCTAATCCAGGAAAGGGGCTGAGACCCAACTAACTCTAAAGAGCTAAATTGTGATAAAGTTGTGTAATCATCCATTCATTCTTAATTCAACTACAAATTCAGAACTGGGTTACAAATAAGAACAGTGAATAAACAATGTTGCAAGCACACAAAGGTCACTAGTAACTAAATCTTTCAAAATCACTTATATGTAACTAAGAAAATCAAACCACAGTAAAGAGAATTACTGATTACAAATTTAAATACCAGAGGCTAGGGGGTGGGGAACAATGAAAAGACAAGCACTTCCCTGACTGGGCACCAGAGAGCACTCTGAATCCCAAGTTCCTATAGATCCAGCAAAAGCCAAAGAATTCCTCCAGGCTATATATAGGCCACTTGTCACCAAGCACGTGCAGGGACAGCAGCCTCATCAGGAGGCACAATCTTACCCTTTAATTTTTCCTGATAGCCCCCAACTTCTGCTCAGGCAAGCAGTACAGGTGGCATAAAATGGTTTCCCTCTTCAAGCAGATACTTACCTCAAGAGAAATGTTAAAGTAAGGCTTATAAGAAAAACTATTCAGTCTATGGGTGATCTTGGAGATAGAGGCAGTAGTGAGCTAGTTAACTCAATCTGTCAGCAGCATTTGACAAAGCAGAAAGGAACTGACTAAATCACAACATGACTCGGAGCTGACGTCAATGTGCAGCTAGCTTGGAGTTTAACTTTTCCACTTCCCTGCTGAAACACGATTCCAGGAAATGTAATGACGTCAGCCCTTTGAACTCAATTAGCTGAGGAACAGACACCATTTTAAATACAGGAGGAAAGAAACAAGTAGGCACGCAAAACATTCACAGCACATTGGTTTCTCCTATCCTGTTTGGAGCTACCTTTATACGCAGTAATGAAATCGGAAGCTTAATTTTTTACCATGGTGAACACTATGTTTAACTTGTAGCTAGACTGAATTTGCAACAGGTTGCAGATGGAATAATAGCTTATTTTAGTAGGGCAGAGCTGCGTGCAGGAGGGAAAGAGATGGTGAAGGGAGAAAGA